TCTATTAAAACAAGGTATTTAATGATAATTGCACATTAATATTTAAGGAACTCCACCGAGGTAAAGAAGGCTAAAAACTTAAAACTTGAATTTCTTACATATATTAGCTTGCGCCCTTAAATATATCAAAGATAGTAAGAAATATACTCAGAAATAGATTGAAAAAAGTATTTTTGTGATTCTTATCCCGATTTGAGTGAAGAGTTGCAACACTTTTTAGTTATTGGTCATTTGTCACAACTAGAATAAATGTTCTGGAAAAATGGAGCATGCAACTGACCTGAAATTTAAGATTTTTTAGATAAAAGGTGTTGGCTTACACCTACATCAAATGGAACATTTATCTCGAGAAACTATTTCCAGTCCCGTCATGCCAAAAAACTTCAGTTGAGTCCCTTTAATTCCACCACTTTCACAATCTTACTTGCTACCAGTGATTCATATGAATATTAATACCTCAAGCTGACTGAATCATACTAAAGCAAGGCATCAGAGATTTGCAGATAAAAATTTCAAAAGGCAAAATGTTTATTATATTTTATCTAGATACTCATTTCTGCACCAAAATGAAAAGAAAACTGCATTGCATTTCATTATTTTTTAAGACATGGTTGCATTCATGAATAACAATATGAATATGCAGGCTCTAGAAAATACAGACTTGCCTAACAACAGGCTGTTTGCATGCTCTAAATAAGCCAATTAACCATTATCAAATATAACTGATAAACTGTGCATACAAATCATTAACAATGTTTTTTTAAAAGCAACACATTCCAATAGGATGTACACATTCTGAATTTTTTTTGTTTCTCTCCATTTTTATTGACAAATATGCAGAATGGAAATCTATTAAATACTGCTATATCATGATGCATAATAAATTATGGTTAGTTTAAACAATTAGCAAAAATTTCAATTCAATAGAATGTAACACGTTTTCTCAAGACTTCAACCCAACCCAACCCCCCCCCCCCCCCCCCCTCTCCAACTCCTAAAGAAGTGTAGGTTTTGCAATATAATTGAGTTACTTAATATTTACTCTTAAAATAAGGCGTTTTTTTCAGTAATGTTTTTAAGGAATGCAAAAATGAGGTCAAACAACTAGCCATGCTTTTTAAATACTTAACCTACCAACCGTGCCAAATTCAAAATATCATTTGCATCACTTGCATGGGCAATAATACAAGTTTAACCTTTTTATTGATATGCTTTAAAATCATTACTCAATAACTAAACTGATGCTATTTTAGCAGTTTCAAACATTATACAGGTAACTGAGCATCTTTATTTATGTTATCAGGTATATATATCTTTTTTAAACTCACCATTCTAGTATGATTACAACCGCTTTCTTTGACACACTGAACAACTTTCCCTAGTAACCCAATTAACACACTAGTCTATCATGATTCAGATTATCCCAGTGGCCTATATTTAGGCAAAGCATTATATATTGATCTATGAAGTTATTTCAGATCAGGTTCAATGATCGTTGAGGTGCCAACCTTCTCTCTCTCTCTCTAACAATATTTACACAGCTATCAGTGTCAAAAATCTCATAGTGTTCTATGTTAAGTAATATCTAATGAGGTTAACATTCTGATGTTTTTATTTGCAAATTTATCTGTGTAAAAATTTACATATTTAAAGTTACAGTGACCTACCCCCCTACCCCCTTAATATTTTCAATGGACTTCTCTTTCAATCTTGACAAGATCATTCATTATTTTTTGTGGAAAATTTCAAAATAAGTACTAACTTAATAGCGAACAGTGCAGACCATGATCAAATGGCATGGTCTGCACTGGTTGCATGAGTAACTTCTGTCACCACTAGAAGGATTAAAGCACAAAGGTTTAAGCAACAGATAACAAATAAGGATGCCATTAAGACAAAAATTAAATGAACCTAAAACTACAAGTAAGTAAAATTAATATAAATGGTGTTTCTTAAATTACTCTAGTTTATATTTTTTGTTATTTTTTATCATAACATAACGTTTAATGGCGTGAACTATGGAATGTACAAAGAATGTATAATAAATGATATACCATTATAATTTTCATATCTGATCATCTGGATTATTAATCAATTTTCACAACAAATACCTGTCTTCAGACATATCATAGATACAAACTTCATACTTGCCAGTAATATGATATTAATAGCAGATATCTAGTGTATGTTATAATTTTTGCAACAAGCCTTGAAAATTTGTTAACAGGATTTTACAAGTATTAACAGATTACTTGAAGGTTTGTACAAAAAAAACCTGCAGTATTTAAGGATAAAAATTTATGCATTGAAAGGTGTTTATCAAAAGTTTTCAGATAAATTTTAAACATGTTAAGACAAGTGATTATTCAAATTTAAAATAAATTCAGAGCATGACTTTTCATAAAGGAGAGGGGCATCTCTCATATTAATCTTTACAGCTTCCATCCAAAGTCCAAGATTAGAAAAATTCATTATTAAAGTGGTGAGGCAAGAAAATGCCAGACTGGAAGACCAGGAAGTAGAATGCCAGACTGGGTAACAGAACACCACTGGAAACAGTGCCAGGCTGGGTAACAGAACACTAGACTGGGAAACAGAATGACAGTCGACAGTCTTGGAAACAAAGCACCAAATCCGGAAATAGAACACAAGACTAGGAAAATGAGTGCCAGACTAGGAAACTGAGCACCAGACTAGAATAAAGAAAGCCAGACTGGAAAACAAAATGCCAGACTGGAAACTGAATGCTAGACTGGAAACAGAATGCTACACTGGGAAACAAAAGGCCAGACTGGGAATTAGAGCGCCAGACTGGAAAACAGAACGTATATATACTTGGAAACAGAATGTGAGACTGAAAAAAACTAGAAATGTGTCCATAGGACACGGATGCCCCCACACGCCACTGTTCTGTCAATCTTATGACTCTAGGTCAAATATTTTTTGGACTACATGTGCCACAAATTGAAAACTAAAAATCAACAAAGGGCCATAATTCTGTTAAATTTGGTCGCAGCAAAAATTCCTTCCTTTACTACCATCTACACATTAAGGTTGTTAATCCCTGGAAGTTTAAGCAAAATCTGCCATCCGGTTTAAGAGGAGTTGCGTTCACAAAATTTCTACATAGTATATAATGAAGAAATCAACAAAGGGCCATAATTCTGTTAAATTTGGTCGCAGCAAAAATTCCTTCCTTTACTGCCATCTACACATTAAGGTTGTTCATCCCTGGAAGTTTAAGCAAAATCTGCCATCCGGTTTAAGAGGAGTTGCGTTCACAAAATTTCTACATAGTATATAGTGAAAAAATCAACAAAGGGCCATAATTCTGTAAAATTTGGTCGCAGCAAAAATTCCTTCCTTTACTGCCATCTACACATTAAGGTTGTTCATCCCTGGAAGTTTAAGCAAAATCTGCCATCCGGTTTAAGAGGAGTTGCATTCACAAAATTTCTACATAGTATATAGTGAAAAAATCAACAAAGGGCCATAATTCTGTAAAATTTGGTCGCAGCAAAAATTCCTTCCTTTACTACCATCTACACCTTAAGGTTGTTAATCCCTGGAAGTTTAAGCAAAATCTGCCATCCGGTTTAAGAGGAGTTGCGTTCACAAAATTTCTACATAGTATATAGTGAAAAAATCAACAAAGGGCCATAATTCTGTAAAATTTGGTCGCAGCAAAAATTCCTTCCTTTACTACCATCTACACCTTAAGGTTGTTAATCCCTGGAAGTTTAAGCAAAATCTGCCATCCGGTTTAAGAGGAGTTGCGTTCACAAAATTTCTACATAGTATATAGTGAAAAAATCAACAAAGGGCCATAATTCTGTTAAATTTGGTCGCAGCAAAAATTCCTTCCTTTACTGTCATCTACACATTTAGGTTGTTCATCCCTGTGAGTTTAAGCAAAATCTGCCATCCGGTTTAAGAGGAGTTGCGTTCACAAAATTTCTACATAGTATCTAGTGAAAAAATCAACAAAGGGCCATAATTCTGTTAAATTTGGTCGCAGCGAAAATTCCTTCCTTTACTACCATCTACACATTAAGGTTGTTCATCCCTGTAAGTTTAAGCAAAATCTGCGGATGAGGAGTTGCGTTCACAAGATTTCGGGACGAACCGAAAGACTGATGGACGGACGGACGGACGGACAAGTGCAACGCTATATGCTCCCACATTGTGGGGGCATAACAAAGCATCAGACTGAGAAACAGAGCTCCAGAATGAGAAACAGAGTGCCAGACTGGTAAACAAAGCACCAGACTAAGAAACAGAGTGCCAGACTGGAAACAGAGCGCAAGCCTTGGAAACAGAGTGCCAGACTGAGAAACAGAGTGCTGGACTGGGAAACAGAGTGCCAGACTGGAAACAGAGCACCAGACTGGAAACAGAGTGCCAGACTGGAAAACAAAGCACCAGACTGAGAAACAGAGTGCCAGACTGGAAAACAAAGCACCAGACTGGAAACAGCGCAAGCCTGGGAAACAGAGCGCCAGACTGAGAAACAGAGCTCCAGACTGGAAAAAGAGTGCAAGCCCAAGCCTGGGAAACACAGCACCAGACTGAGAAACACAGCGCCAGACTCGGATATAAGAGCACCAGTCTGCACCAGACTGGGAAACAATGTCAAACTTGAAAACTGGAAAACAAAATCAAAGACTGTGAAACAGAGTACCAGACTGGGAAACACAGTGTCAAACTGGAAAACAGAACATCAGACTGGGAAACACTGGTTCCTTGACAATGATGCAGCTATCTGAGCACTACAGTACCTAGCCTTGGCTAAAAATACAATACAATAAATACACGAATAGCAAATTCACACAATCATGAGACTCATAAATTAACTCAAACCATATTCTTTCTTTACCCACACACTTACTCAACTTTCTTAGTTTTAAAAGTGAGCCAAGTGCAAGTTTTAGAGGGAAAATAGCGTTATAGCATTATGGGATTTATGTGAAACAGTGATGAATAAAAACAATAAAACTTACCATTCTACAAATGAATCTGGCTGGAATTATGTGCAATATGCTTTATTGCCTTCATGTCATACTGTCTTTTATTTGTTCTTAGCATTATCCAGGAATTCTGAAAATAATAGATACAATTAACTCCCCGACAGTCTATAAAGAAAGATTATTGTAATAAAAATAAAATAATCTTTAAACCAACTAGGTAATGACTTTGCTAATTGAAATTTATGCAATAAAGGAAGAAATCTGGAAACACCTATCTTTAGCTGTATTGTAAATGGAGGTAAAGCAACAACCTACTTATTTGAGCATTTGATGGAAATTTGGGACCATCATCTAAGATCAAGATGCATTTGAGGGAAATTGGGGATCGCCATCTAAAGTGGAGCAGCATTTGAGGAAAATTTGGGACTGTCATTCTAAGATGGAGCACAATTTGAGGGAAATTCGGGACAGTCAGACAAATGTTATACTATAATTTCCACAGAAAAAACATATCTATATCATTGTTAATCATTCAGTTAAACTGTTTTCCCAAATATATGAACTTAAACCAGCTTTTTTACTTTCAAAATAAGCAATAAAGTTAAAAATCAAGAAGCTTAGGCCTCTTCCCAATAAGAAAGAAAACCAATAAGTAAGAAAAGCCACTAAAAACTAAAGCTAGAGGTCCAAAGTTTGATCCTCTAGACTAGCTGATTGTATGTCATGATAAATGCAGGGCCAAAACACCATTTTTGGGGAAGGGGCCGTAGCCTTTTTCTTGGGGAAAATATGCGTGATTTTGGCATACTTTGAGAAAAGGGGTCTCAAATTTAACACAAACTTTTAACAAATTCTTCAAAATAGAAAAGCAAAAAGCACTGGGAAATACTAATAAGGCAGTAAAAGAACACCATCATTTGATTTTGTTTTAAATTCTATGGGAAATTTCAGAAGACTCGGGAATTTTGAGGACCAAACTGGGAAAAACTGGGGCTAGTTTGGTTGGGGAAGCAGCCATAATATTGGGCCTCTACAAAGAAGGGTTTTTTGGCCCTGAAATGATAAAAAACTTTTGTTATGGCGTAAACAGAGTAATAACCATAGAACGTGCCACCTATTATTTCTCATTCATTTTAAGCTGTCAGTCATAGACATCAACTTGACACAATGCATTTATGCAGAATTTATTGATGTGTGCAACAGTTAAATCTATGAACAGTGAAATATACTAATAAGATACAAAATCAAGCACATTATGTCATTCAAAACAGATCGTTATCTTTACTTCCAGTGTAAGGAAAATTTATCTTCTAATCTCACTACTCTTTTCATTCATAAAACATCGTTTAAACAAAAAAAAAAAAAGATTTAAAAAAAAAAAAAAATGTTTTTCAAGACATATTACGTAACTGAAAATTGTCACTCAACAAAATGTTTGGTAGCTTAAACTGAAGAAAGGATAGGCTATGTGTTTATATCTTTTCACGCTAGTTTAACGACAGCTGTCGCAAACATGCATGCATTTTGAAATCTGCTTATTTGCTCTCTCCCTCTGCACAATAAATGACAGCGATATACAGAATATAAATGATTTTGCACTGATAGACCCTTCACTTGTGTTACTCTAATCTTAGAAATTCACAAAAAGAGACAAAAAAATCCAGGTTGCATATTGTTACTGATAAACAATTGCTTGAAAAGAAATTATTCTGCAATCCTACAATCAGTGAAGCAATATCTTCAAAACCACATGCTTAAATACTAATTATTTCATGAATAGCGAAAAATTATTTGGAAAAAAAACAACAACCCAACTTTTTATATCAGTTTTAATTACAACTGAGCACTTAAACTTCACCAATTTATTGATAACGCTTAATAGTTACAACAATGTAAAAATCATCCATTAATCAGGTTTTGTATTTTATTACACCTTTATTTTTACTACCTGCTAAGACTATAAGTACACTTTAAAGACACATTAATTTCACAGTATCTTAATTAGTTGCCAATTGGCTGCCAATAAATTTTATCTATGTTTGTTTTGAATGTTTAGCTACATTAATTCTAATTTCTTTACAGCCTCCACAAGTTTATTTATATTTCAATAATTTTTCTCCGTAGTGTATGACAGAAGTCTTAAAAATTATTTTTTAGTTTTTTGCCTTGAAATGTTGACCTACACCTTTATTGACAGTAATGGACTATCAGTATCAATCCCTTATACTGATGATTTTTATATTAAAATATTCAAACTGGACAGCCAACCGCCTAAAAGTCAAACTTGGATGTGAGGTAAAGATTTTTTTGTAGTCACCACCAGAAAGACTGATATTGGAGACTTATTTTAGCCGTAATTTACTTCATTTTTTAGTTTAGGGTATAAAGCATCAGAAAGGCAGACTTTTTATTCACCAGTAACAAGGAATCAAGCTTGCTACCCTTGAATTGGTAGTCAAAAAGTTACTACAACCAGACCACTGCCTCCCACTCTATCAAACTTGCTGGCTTAAACCTAGGAAAATCTGCCATAAATCTGCCATTATATCTTACATATTTAATTTCATATCATTATTAATTGGGAGTTAATTACAGTTAGGCCTCATTAGGAATATCTTGTGACCTACTGCACCAGGTGAGAAAATAGAATTGGCATTTAATTGGTGAAAATTAAGCTATAGGCATCAAACTAGATGCACATAATTGAAACACAATATCATACATTGTTTCTTAATTTTACGCTCATGAAGTACAACTACTCAGGCTTCATGCATGAAAAATAAAAATCTTCCCGGTTAACTAGCTGCCAAATATCAAGCTTTTCACATGTATATACATTCAACCATTACAAAATATGAAAAATATATTTCTAAACAAATTAATTAATAAAATGTCAATTTATTTTATATTATTGTTTATTTTTTTAAACAAGAGTGTTTGAATGGATAACCTTTATGAATTACTTAATTAAGTAAATTTAGTATCGCATGAACATGGAAGATTTGTGGGTTTCTAAGAGACTTCCATGTCATAACAACATGTTGAACATTAACCAGAAATTTGTTTGCCCGATTATATTTCATACATTTAATCTATTATGCAGATGAAAGACATTCATCATTTCAAATAATGTTAAAAAAAAAATGTATGTCACAGAAAATGCTTTGCTCGTTGTGGGAGTTGTGGGAGTGAAAAAAAGAGAAGAAAAAAAAATGAAACGCACCATCGACTATCTCATATGAAAAAAAATTGACTGAAAGTTTTTAAATCAATCATGAATTCACTTACTAAGGTTGCGTAAAAAATTGGTGACGAAATTACTTCAAGCATTCAAAACGATGAACAGCAGGATGCGTTAAGTTAATTCAATGATGTTATTATTTATCAATAGAGGATAGTGCGGAGTTGTTTTTCAATGCTTAAAGACATTTATTGTTTATTAGGCAAATATCATCATATGCAAAGGACGCCTCCAGGATTTTAGTCACAGATGTCACAAAGTAGACATGACCTTAGGTACGAAATCCGTCACATTAAATTAAATGATGATAGTATAAATCAATGCTGCTTACTCTTCATTAATTGTCAACCCTGAACGTGGTTAGTACATGGATTAAGGTCATTTGATATTTTTCTGGTGTCAACTTTCATCATTAGCGACTTGTTCAGGACTTTAATATGATACATAAACTAATGGCAAATTTCAGTCTTTTTCAATCAATCTTACTGCTGTCAAGGTGAATGTGTTGGATCTGCCCGATTTTCTGAAACTGAGAATATATATATATCTCAGTCATTGCAAGGACTCATTTTAAGCGCCTTAAACAATGCCTTTTAAATTTGGTTTGGTTTCGGCTTAAAGTGGATAGGTCTAAAATGGGCATATCTTCCATAAGTAGCACAAATACTGATAAAACAAAATGTATCATTTGCATTATAAAATATATTATTAAAATATTATAAAATATTGATTGGAAAAATGTTGTAGTATCACAAATAATTAATATTTTGTTCCCGAACATTTTTATTACTTGCTTTATTAATGAAATTATAATATCAACAGCATGAGACTCTATATTATTCTTATGTGGTTTGATGTCAATATAACTAAATACTAGATACTAACTAAATACTATCAACTTAATTATCTATTGTATTACAGTCCTTCAATTAGTAGACCAATTCACTTTAAGGTCATTCAATGAAAAGGTCACAATAATATGCCACCACAAGCTTTAGTGGGAGGAATTTTTAGCCACATCAGTTGCCAATTTATTTTTTTACTGGAAGTCATGTCATTAGAATATTATTTTCTCATTTTTCCCCACTTTAATTTCATAGTACTATAAATAAACGATTTACAAATGAGCTGTATCATGACAAAACCAACATAATGGGTTTGCAATCCAGCATGGATCCAGACCAGCCTGCGCATCCTCGCATTCTGATCAGGATCCATGCTCTTCGCTATCAGTTTCTCAACTTGTTATAGGGTTTGTAAGAGAACAGCATGGATCCTGATCAGACTGCACGGATGGGCAGGCTGGCCTGGATCCATGCTGGTCGCAAACCCATTATGTTGGTTTTGTCATGACACGGCTCAAATAAAGATGTCGGTGAGATATTGGTATCATCTACATAAAGAAAATACATAGGTTCACACAGTATTTTCTCTGCACTTAAAATGCACTGAACTATTTTCAATGTCAATAAACAGTCATGTATATATATTTTCTCATGAGAAAAGACAATAATTTCTCATTCACATTGCTTTAACAGCATGAGCGATGTAATTATACAAAAGTTAATCATCACAGTTAGAATGTTACAACTCTATCTTTTAAACAACTCTTCTACACATTTCATGCAAACCACTTCAACATCTATTACTCTCTCTTGTTTTATTTCCTACTTTATTTCCCATTTTATTGTTAATGAATTTTCTATAAATTGATTCAAAACAAATATTCCTAGAGAATAATACTGTATTAAAATGAAATCGTTTCCAATAAAAACAGAAGCAAGGAAACAATTTCAATATAAACGATAAATGGCTGAATAGTAAGCAGATGGGAAAGCACATAAAATGTTTTAGATTGCACAACACTACAAAGTTACACTCCACTCAAT